ATTCACACACACACACACACACACAAAAAAGAGGCTGAGGCAAATTCAATTTCTTTTATCAGTCAAATTACAAACTTCACAGGAAACTCAAAATGAACACCGTCAATCTTGTATAAATTAGCATACGATCCAAATCCGACAGGCCTATACATCAAAAAGAAACTCATATTTGATGTGGCGAACATCCAGCAAAATACATGTGCAAATAATTGACTCAGGTCTTGTTCCCGAAGTACACCAGATATAAGCCAACGCCAATTCCTTCAAGAATGACAGAATTTCTAACATTTGAATTAACTATCAAACCAAATAGCGAATTAGTTGCTAGGTGGTCCCTCGCCACTACGGCAAGGCGCGTTCTCAGGACACAGCCCCCAGTTACTGAGCACAGCTGCATGTAGCCCACTGAGGTAGTTGCGGCACAAAGCGTGTAGTACTCCAGCCTGGGCGTTGGCAGGGAGCCAGCAGCTCCTCACAGTGGAAAAGGAGAAGTCCTCCACCACATTCGGACACGTGTAACTGGTAACGGTTTTTAACAGCAGGAACGTTGCATTAATCAGACGGAAAATTATCAAGAATAGTGAGTAGGTAAGGATTTGGAAGGAAATGGTTGTGGCCTAAGCCAAGATATTACTTCTGTATTGGCACACACAAGCAGAAAGACTCAGGTACCCTGTCATGATGGAAAAAGGTAACTCCCGAAGACGAGTGTAGAGCATTATCTGCTTGGTCTGAAACGAACTGCAGAGAGAAGGCATCGTGGAACTGACCCAGAGTCCTGGCCGAAAACGAATCCATTTAATTTATCTTTGTGTTAGCGACTTGGTGTTCGAAAATAGCTAACATCTGCTGAATTGTGGCTTTATTCGCGCACTGTTGAATCACATCACAAACTCCACCATACGAATAGACCCTCCATTTCCTGAGACTTCAGTTCCTTCACACTACACGAAACATCATATAAATCACTCACTCACTCACTCATGGAGCTGAGCCCTTCTTGAGAAGCCGCCAATTGTGCAGCTACTCAAGAATTTCCCAGAATGTTATGGAACCCGAAGGTTCATTACCGCGTTCACAAGAGTCCTCCACGGGTCCCTATCCTGGGCCAGATCAATCCAATCCATACCATCCCATCCTATCTCTCTAAGATCCACTTTAATACTGTCCACCCACCTATGCATTTGTCTTCCCAGTAATATCATATAAATAGGGACTAAAACATTCCACCCGCAACAAAACTTTGTTGTGCGGAGTTTATTTTACAACAGAGCTCGGTCACATTTCCTTACTCAACGCCTACAAAGGAAACAGTCGTATCCCACACATCAAAACCAACATTGTTTCGGCCAACTCCACAGAGCAGAACGGTTTCTGGAGGCCTTCTGTTGTTCCGCTGCTCGGGGAATTCCCAGCATTTTAGGGAAACCGATGGTTCATCTAGAGTACTCACAAGAGCCTTGTATGAACTGAATCCACATCCCCATACTTTGACTTAAGGGCCATTTCAGGTCTGTTTCCCAAGTACGTCTACATTCTTCGGTAGTCTTTGTCCCTTAGGAATATCTAACTATATTTCTCATTTCTCCCATGCGCGCAACACGTGTCTCGTTCAACTGATTCATCTTTATCAAATTAACCTAATAATAGTAAAGCGGTTAATTGTACAAATTATAATACTTCTCGTTATCATCCCGTTTGTTGTCAAGCACCCTCACTCAAGTTGCGTTCTTACTTTAAAGCAAGAGATCAATATCACAACCATATCAAACAACAAATAAAATTCGTTTTCTCTACTGTAATGTCTATGTTATTATGTAGAAGACTGGAAGAGAAACGTTTCTGAACTAAACAGTAATATGCATTCTCTGAATTTAATCTGCTCACGATTTCCTGGTGAATGCAAATTTGTATCTACTGCTGTCGTTTACAAATGTTTGAACTTGACTATGTTTTGGATGAATTTATTAAGTATCTTTACAGTTTGTTACTGTCCTGTATCTTGCTGACAGTGCATGAACATACATTTAGATTTATTTCTCTGCGTTTACTTCTGGATTAACTCATCACTGGCGTCTAACGGAGGTCATAATAGTCTACAACCATCCACGATACAGTTATAAGTACATTTCACAAAGACAAATAAAACAGGTGTTTTGTACATTAGACTGATATCTAAAGTGTCAATCATTGTGGGGGGGGGGCACGCGGTAGGGTAGTTTCTTGAGGCACTATGCTAGAAGCCGGAAGATTGCTGGTTCGATTCCCAATGAGATCACGTGATTCTCAACTGACCTAATCCTTCCAGCCGCACTATGACCCTGGGGTCGACTCAGCCTTTAACAGAATTGAGTACCAGCAATCTTCTTGGGAGTAAATTTGTCCCTGTACTTAACTAAATAAGCACTACGCCATGAAGGCGTATGGGGAGTGGATGTATAGTCCCGTTTTCTTGAACTCGGCATTAGTTGGAGGTTAATAGTCAGCTTCACGCTTCGGCCGTTTTACCCCTGGGGAAAGATCCACCGGTACCCATTGAATAGGAGGTCGTGCCCCCATATAAACTCCCAAAAATAACAAAAAAGTATTTACTTTTTCAAATGTATTTCCATTAATTCAAACTGGTTGTATACTAACTATTCTACCAATAAAATAAGGGGAGACTGAGACCCGCGGGCGGGAGTGTGACAACGCGCGTGCGCAGTTCAGAGGGAACGCTGTATACGGGCATATAAAAGAAATACAGTTAGTCATACGTCACCCGTTTCTCAAGGATCTGAGTTCTGAAACATGACCTTCGACAATCAAATATTTGAGAAACGGAGCTACCAGACCCAAAACACATTTTCCTCCTCGCCATTCGGTCGCTCGACCCATTAAGCACTGAAAAATTCGAAGGAAATCAGTAATGCTCAGCTACTTAATCTCCACAGGGAAAAGAAAGAAAACACGACAAATGTTGTACAAAAGTTATTTATTCCAGATGCTGTATACAAACCTCCGGTAGAGGCGCGAGGACTATGGTACGCAACAGATCGGCAAAGTATGGCTTGTGAGTCGTTTCTCACCGGCAGAACTGCAGCCGCCCAACGAGCTCAAATCGAAATGTCGATGCGCTCGCAGAAAATCCACCAATTTTACAAACTGTATCACACTAAGCAGACGACTGTCTTGTGGAATGTGCCATATCGAGAGTCCAGCTTGGTCCACTCGGCACGGCGGCCACTGATTGACCTATTGTACCTGCCCCGGGTGATTATGATGATGGAGAATTTGGTGGAATGAAGATTGGCAGGGGAAACCGAAGTACTAGGAGAAAACCCGCCCCATCGCCACTTTGTCCACCACAAATCCCACATGACCAGATCGCCGGGATCGAACCCGGGACGTCGCGGTGGGAAGCCAGCGACTAACCGCTTGAGCTATGGCGCGGCCTGCCACCACGAGGGACTTAGTTCTCACATCAATGTAATTAAATAGCGTAAAGTCGCGTGGTCTAAGGCATGAGCTGTCTTCGCAAGCTCGGACGCTGGGATCGTGGGTTCGAATCCCACTCAAGGCATGGATGTTCGATGTGTGTATGCGTTTATTCTGTTTGTGCTGTCCTGTGTTTATGCAGAGACCTTGCGACGGGCTGATCACTCGTCCAAGGAGTCCTACCGTCTGTGAAAAATGATTACGGAACTGAATAAGAGGCCTGGGACCTGAATGGGCTGAAAGAGCCAGTGGTGGGAAAAAAGCCAAATTAAACACGTTTCCTATTCACGGCTGCGAAAGAATTTCAGAGTATACCTTGTTATCCATCTCGTAAAACGTTTATCTCAACCTAATCTCCATCAGAGTTCGTACGTTAATATATCGGCCCATTGCATGTCTCCTCTGTACTGTCCTCACGAAACATCTATGTAACTTGGCGACTTTCGTAAACCACACGTGGTAACTCAAGTCTGATGTTACGGTCACACCGCCCAAGGTGAGAATGAATTCAGAAGTGTGATCGAAACGGAAACATGGAAATGAAATGTACACAAAGATCCTGATATCGGATGTCAATAGACAGTGTGGGAAATATATTTTTTCTACAACATAAAAATGACAAAATGGGGATATTTTAATGAGACCAAAAGACGACGAGTGGGGGGAGGAAAATTAATACTTTAAAAACTGAGTAATTATCAATTATTCGCTGTTAACATACTACATAAAAGATAAAGGTAAGGGTAAAGCTATCCCTGTAACAAGCAGTGGAGGCTCCCACGTTTTCTAGACAATCGGCTCACAGATGGAGGTAAGGCTGTCAGCCTTATGCGCCGGCCGCCATTTACCCCCCAAGAAGATTCCTGGTACTCATTTCTGTTAGAGACTGAGTCCACCCCAGGGCCATAGTGCGGCTGGTAGGATTAGGTAAATTGAAAAAAAATCCACCTCATCGGGACTCGAACCCGCGACAAAACCCGTATTAGCAGTAACTACAAATAAATCTGATACGGAAAAGTCACAACTGAATGCACGTAACAGAGTTCAAAACAGCCCGCCAATGGTTAATATTTTGAAAGAGATCCAATTCAGTTCATACTGTAGCACTTGTTATTTAAAATCAAATTTAATATTATCTCTGAATTTAAGCTTCGTCTTTTTAGTGGTCTCTTCCATTCAGGTTTCTGAGCCAATATTAAGTACGCATTTCTTATTCCTCCCGAAAGAAGAGTGGAAATTAATTTTTGTTTGAAATATAATTCCCCCCCCCATAAAAAAAGTGGCTAAAAATATTTTGTTCCTGAAACCGTGCCGCCCGAGGTGGGTGCTTGTATCCAGTACGCTTAAGTGCCGGACCTGATATCTATAAAGACAAGCCATAGGCCCAGTCCTGTGTTCAGTACCACTACATGCACAACAGAATTTCGGATGAACCCATTTCTTACGTAAGGCATCATCATCCTGCATGTTACACTAACAGACACTGTTCAAGAGAAAGGAAACGGAATTCGTCGAACGCTCACCCACTAAAGACTCTGCGCTTGTTGACCGGTGAACTGGTGGTCACTGCGCCAACACCGCTGCTGTCACTAGTACCAGGTTCTGAAACAAGAGAACAGAGCAGATAGAACGAGAACCACTTTCTACTTACACAGGGCCATTAAAATCACGTCAAGTCACATTCAACAATTAAAATAAAAATTTGCGGCACCTAAAAGCACTTGAAAAATGTTACTACTGATACATCATTATTATTATTAATTGTATCTTTCAATAATCCAATATCTAGGAGAATAAAAGATATTTTATATACTGCTGTTGGGACTTGGGTGCAGCAGTTTAATTCGGATTAGCCTACTAACATACATATGAGATGGTGGACAATATAAACACACAAATATCAATTCAAACAAACAAAAAATACCAAAATGAGACCCGTTAATTTAATTGTGAATTTCTGCTGGAAAGTTCGCAAAGCCCAATCATCTTAGGCGATCGTACTTTTGAAGCCTATAGGCCTAAGAGATGAAATTATTAACGACGCTCTTTCAACCGCACATTATATACAGTAAATGATATGGAAACATGGTACATAAGAATGTATGAGGAAGTGACCGTGGCTTATGTCAAGGTATCGCCCCGAAATTTGACCGGAAAGACTGAAGAAAACCACGAAAGGCACTGACCTGTAACTTGGCCAGGAATCAGACCTGATATCTCCTGAATACCCTGCACAGCTTACCTCGCCACGGCTGTGTTCGATTTCCATATTCTTCCGCCAGAAAACAAATGAAGTCTCAGGCATGCTAGCGATACTGTGGGTGTGAACTGCGAACTGGGAAGTTACTACCCTTATAAGATTTGACGTTTCCACGGCGGAGAAAAGTACATATTGTGATGAGTTACGGCAGGGTGTAGTCCTGTATATGGTTATCAACATTTCGGAGGAACCTGCTGCCTCCACTTTCACGGTACACACGTAAAGTTATTCTATATAATTCTAACCCAGTAACGTTATAACTATAAATCGGCCCTGGATGATAACGATACTAGTGTCATCAAACATTACGCGACAAGGAAATGAGCTTACGAAACGAATGAGACATCTGAATACACTCTGAGCGCCAGCAACACTTCGTCCGGATTGTAGCAGCGTCAGCTGCAACTGCGGCAATTCAATTACAAGAGCACGAACAGGTTCCAGATGCTTCAACTTTCCGGTGCATTCCAGTTCGATATCTGCCAGTCACAAGGTGCGACAAGCTAAAGTAGAAATGCAGCATATTTCTATGGACATATGACTTTCCTCTGGTAAAAAGACCAATTTTCCTGATTACAAAATCAGCCTCACATACAGGAAAGGTGAAGTTGTTCTTGAGATTAATCAGTTAAGCACCACTCCATGAAGACGTGTGGGAAAATGATTCTTAAGCTCGGCACTAGATGGAGGTGAGTGGTCAGCTTGAAGACCCGACCGCTTTATCCAAACGGAAAGCGTCCCCCGTACATACCGGATAGACGCCACTAAAACAGATCTAATAATAAAACTAACTACATCAACTGTAATATCACCTGCGTCAGAGGCAATAACAAACAGAAATTAACAGCGTACGTTAAGAAACGGTTAACAAAATATGTCGGCCGTAGATTGTAGCTGACAAATGAAATACACTGTACTTTTTTAACATCTTCCGCTTGTTTACCTTCCCTATGACGTGTCTATGCAAGAAATTGCTGTTGAAAGAATCTGTGTAGTTTGTCCATAGCTTGTAACGATGCAGCCACCTGCTCAAGCTGGTTCCTCGCTCGCGGATTTTTTTCTTATACCCTGAAGATGGAGGCGAAACGTTCCTCCGAAACGTCAGTATATACAATATCTACACGGCACCACATCCCAGAAGCCGTCATTCTTCATAGTCACCGCCGTGAAAACTTCAAATCTTACAAAACTGCTAATGGCTAGGCGTTCTAGAAGAAACACGGAAACCATAATTGTTCATGCGCTATATATGAAACACAATTACGAACCGTCACTAACATAGGAATGACAGATGGAAGTTGGGTAAGCCGCACGCTCTGGACAGCTGCATGTTCTCCTCAACAAGTGCAAGCTGATGATGATTTATTTGCTAATAATCTTGACAACGGTTCGGAGTGGACACGAAACATACATTTTGTCATCTGCCTCAGAATGATGGATAGTATATGACAGAAACTTTCAGCAACAATGTAAATTTTCGGAAGTCGATTTCCGGATTTCCGCTTTCGTGACTGTCAAGTTCTGCTTCATTACAGTAACTCGTAATAATAATTCAATCATCACCTTAATGGAGTATTACACATTCGCTTCGGTGCTACTGAATGACCAACACGGCATCTGATGCACAATTCCCATTGCAGCTACACATGTTTGCAATGCCTCTTAATGTCTTGCGTTCTAATTTCTGTGCACTTAATATTACAACCAGAGCTCCATATAATGGACAAGTAAGCTGCATTTTTTTCCTTGGCACTACAGCCCCAGTGGGCCTAGGCATACTTCCATGAACTTCTCTGTTGACTTCGGATTTCTAGATCTTACACATTCGGTAGGACTCCTTGGGAGGGCGATCAGCTCGTCGCAACGCCTCTACTTGTACACAAACACAGAATAACGCGCACACACAAACTAAACATCCATGCCCTGAGTGGGATTCGAAACCACGATTCCGGTTTCCAAGCGAGCGAAGACAGTACATGCCTTAAACCGCTCGGCTACCGTGACCGGCAGTAACCTGCATTACACTGTAATATTAAAGAGAGTTTTGGAGAAAGTATGTGCCGTGGACTCAACTGGCTCAGGACAGCTCTTGTGAAAACGGCAGGCTTATAACATAAGGGTTTAACAAAAGTTTGGGAATTTCTTGACAAGCTGAAGGAGCAGTAGTCTCTCAAGCTGTGCTGTGGTCCAGGGTTATTGCTAGTTTTTAAAATAGGGTAGGAGCGTGTGGACTGGAGTCATCTGGCTCAGGATGGGCACCACTGGCGGGCTCCTGTGAATACGTAAGGAAACTCAGTTCCACTAAGGGCGAGAAACTATTCGACCAGCTGAGCGACAATTGTTTTCATAAAGACGGATTTGCAGTTACTTATATACATAATAATCAAATGGGGCGGTAACCCGCAAGCGCAGTAGCGTCGCCACAGACCGCGGTTTCTTCGCTTCGCATAAATGAGCCCTCTATAAAAAGTAGACGAAGCAGCTATCGTGAATTTCATCCATCTCAGCAGGAATTAGTAATACGAAAGGGTTTAGCGGGGCTTCAGCAATTATGAAGTTCCACATGAGACAACCGGATGCAAACTGAAAGCACATGTCTTTCTGCATGCCGTGGATTCTCAAACTGTGGCTGCAATCGAATCCAAGAAGGGTCGGCGAGAGCTCAGGAATTATTTAAAATTCAACTGTATCTACACATGTAGTTTTGGCAAGTCACTAAAATGTAATATACTGGTTGGTACTGCAGCTGGCAAAACATTGCGAGATTTGTTTCGTGACTGTAAAGGAGCATTTACTACAGGTGCAGAGCGGTACTTGGGTTTCTGTCACAGTACAGCCTGATACAGACCTGCTACAGTGCGGGGGGGGGGGCACCCGAGCGTATACAAATATATATGCGTTTTTATGGGGCAGAGTTATCACAAAGTTTGAGAACTCCTAGTGTGGCCTAGCAAGTGTCAGAACAGGGGTCATGCCATAGCTCAAGCGGTTAGTCGCTGGCTTCCCACCACGGCGGCCCAGGTTCGATCCCGGGTATGGTCAATTGGGATTTTTGGTGGACAAAGTGGGGCTGGGGCACGTTTTCTCCGAGTACTTCGGCTTCCCCTGCCAATCTTCATTCCACCAATTACTCCACAATCATCCTCACCTATCATCTGGGGCTCGTACAATAGGCCAGAAGTGGCCGCAGTACAAGGGACTTAGTCCCACCCCACTAGCAATAAAAAAAGTGTCAGAACATAACTGGGCCAAAGGCTGGAGACTTGGTTCAACAACACGTGTGACTCCAGTGTCCGGAAAGGAACCAACACTTGTCTAGCACAGCCACCAGCCACTGTTGCTCGGCATTACGCAGGCAGCAATGCTTGTTAACAAATATGGGTCTAAAAGATGGCTCCGGCCAGTGCACAAGACCTTGCCGGCAACTCAACACCATACTGGGCACCAGACACCGGTCGCACCATGGGCGACACCTCTACTGCAGAGCACACGAGTTATAACGGCGATCAGAAGCCCTGTTATGGGAATGCCGTAAATAAATAAGACTGGTAGCTTCATTTCAATTAAAAAGCTAAACTCAAGGCCAATCTTAGGGACAATGGCGAACAAAACTCCCGGCGCCTCAACTCTCCGTACCGACCAATTTTGCACCATTCACTTGTATGTCGAAACAACTGCATAATAATAATAATAATAATAATAATAATAATAATAAGGAACATGAAATGTTTTGTGATACCAGTAATT